GTTTACAGACTGCGGAGGAAATGTAGTCCAAAGAACCTCTCTTACCTAAAGCTGCATCCAGACCAGCTACACTGTGCTTTAAAAGATGCATGCATGAAAGAGACATACTGATCTAGCAATCGCTAGCTATTTCTTAAAAAAAAAACGAAACCCACACATTTTGCATTCACAAATCAACCAGTCACAAAAGATCCCAGAAGCTTGAGGTTTTTTGCACTGATAACCTGGGAAAACACAAGTAATCTGGAGACAAGGCTTGCTGCATCTGAATTCCAATTTTTTACAGTATAGCAGGTTGCTGGTATGATACTTCCTATCCTCAAAACACACAAGGTGGGTATAAATAAAAACAGAAATATACAGCACCATGAGAAATTGACAGCAAGAGACTCTTGTATCAACAGTTTCAAAGTCAACTGGACAAAACCCACAGCAGAAAAATCTGGTATCAACAGCCTACAGATCAACTGAACAAACTGCAGTCAAATTTAGAAATTCCTCTTTGCTAGAAGTGACCCAGTTTAAAGCGTGAAGGTGAGAGATGACAAATCTAAAGAGGTGTCAGATTGCCTTTGTTAGCCATCAGAACACAGAAAGAATCTCACCTGTGCCTAAAGCTGGAGGCTTAGTCCTAAAAGATTTGGATGATTTAATCATCACAGGACTTAGCTGTACCCCAAAGCCTGGCTGGAAGCATTCAATGCACTCTGTATAGCTGAGAAGGGCACCAGCTTCAGCTGTTTTCAAAACAGATTAAACTTCTCCAGCAACAGTGTGACTTTTTCTTGGTTTTAGAGTCAATGAGGCTGAACAACTCAACATGTATCACTAGGCTTTGTTTCACCTACCTTTAGATGTCTACTTCAAGATAAATCAACTTCACACAAGCAGAGACTGTATCTGCCTTGATTACAAAAGGTGCTCGCATGCCATGAACATGTCCCTGCGTGTTTGGTATTGGTTAATTGTTTAATTTCATCTGGTTTAATTTTTTTTTTCTGTGTCACCTTTGATTCTGAGATACTTTAAGATTCACTTACCATTTTCATTTATTCCAATAACTATTACCAAACAGAAAAAAAAAATGCCCTTTTTTACTATTTCAGTTTAGAAATAATGAATGATGTTTGAAAAGAGTGCAATTGTGTGTATAGCTTAATTGACATATATTATCAATATCTGATTAAAACAATTTGTAATATATGTAGATGAAAGCTGATTTTCCAGAAAAAGCTTTCCATTATATTTTGGATGCTTTTTGAGAAAATGTGATTATTTCATGACAAAGTTAAAGTCATTACGATGTTACAGAAGACACTTTTTACAGTTACTTGCTCCACACAAGATCCTTCATAAGCTTTTCATTAAATTTGCAAAATGAAGCAGCACACAAAATTATGAAGCAGCATTTTGAAGGGGCAGAATTACAAAGTTGCCAGGTCAACTTTAACTTTATATATGATTATGAAACAGTCTTAATTCCACTCAGAGCCATCTTTGGGCCACCTGTTTAAGCATGCAACATAGACATTTTGATACATAAAAGCAAGGTGTGTGGCCTCAGGACAATGTTTTAGACCACAGTAAGTTAGGAACACTTCTGAGAGTCCCAGCAACACCCACCCCATCAGTCATTCAGGCGAGGCAGGATTAGATAGATGCTACCTAGAGCCAGCCAGAGGAAACATGTGGCAGCGGGAAATGGCCTCTGGATACTTGACTCAGGGCTCTGCCATCTGAGATATAATGTGGTTAGACAAGGTGGTCTGAGACCATTTCTCAACTCTGTAAACCCTCTACTCCCAGATCCACAGTCCCTGACCAGAGACAGTTGTACCACCCATTTGACCTCAGTGTGAACAATTCCATTTACTAATCTGGCAGAAAACAAACCTAAGTAAAAAATTTATCTTGTATACAAGCATCATAGTCATCATAAAGAAAGATTCAAAACCATGCAATAGGAAGTAGAGGCATGGGGGAATGAGAAATGGGAAGCAGGACTGCTCTTTCTGGCTCACTACACCATGAGTAATCCTTCTGAGAAGAGATACCCTACAGAGGAAGGACAAAAAAAGAGGCCTCTTTTTGTATCAAACCCTGGTCCTGGTGTCTGCTCCCAAAATTATTCACAAACTTTATCCAACAGCTCTTAAAATAAAACACATGAGCAGGACTTGGAGCAGAGCCCTGAACTACTCAAACTTGATTCTGAAAACAGAACGAGTAAATTTCTTACAGACTTTTCTAGGGTACTTTCACTAGAGTACCAAGTATTCTGCAAGTGCTAACTGAATTTAAATATTCTGTTATCCTGTACAGGTGGTAGACGAAGGGCACAGAGGTTAAGGTCAAAAACATCCACCGCTGACTTTTCCAAGGACGTTGCATAAGATGACACCTTTACCTTCCAAAAAACCCCCCTGACACTCAGCACTTCCGCAGATCAGGTCAGAGAATCCCAACAGCCCCATCTCCACTCTGTTCACTACTCACTGGTTCTAGTTTCCCTCATTTCCATCACACCTGCCAGACCACTCTTTATTGCCCTCCTATCTGGAGACAAAATATAGATAAATATTTGGGGTTTTTGCTAGCCTCTATACAGACAACTGAACTGTTTTCACTGAACTATTTCTTTCAAAAACAACATATTAAAAAACATCAGCTTAAGACAGGCACACAGAACAGGAAATTTTAAAACAAATAGTTGGAGGTTTAGAGATAAGCAATGGAAAACTGGATCTCAGAATGGGAAATGTCAGACGGTCTAAAAGTATGCAATGCTTCCTGGCCTGCCTGAAAGAAGCATGATGCACTCATTACGTGCTCTGTAAAATTGATGGACTTCTTGAGTATTCATGCCCTAGTTTCTAAATATTTTGGTTTTGGAAATGAAGAGGCAAGTAATTCTATTGTTCTCTGTGGAGAATCATAATTGGTTTTACGATAAAGGGAAAAGTCTGTTGCTGATATAAGTTAGCACAGATTTCAACACAGATAGGCCATCAGAGCCAGCAAACAGTCTGGTCTGAAGTGGCTCTCTCTTTCCTTTTTCATTGTTTAGGATTTGAGGGATATTAAAACTGTCACAACCTTCATAAATGAAAGCTGCTCTGTGTTTTCATCAGTATTAGATCTCTGGGGTTTTTGTGTGTGCGCGCAACTATTTGATAACAGTTTTATGAGCATTAAGAAAATATAACAAATACTTTACATATTATTCATTCAGGCACACATGTGCAATACTGAATCAGAATCCACAAGGAGCTCCAGCCAGATCCAGAGTCATCCAGGAACATGCATGTGTTCCCTAGATGCTATACCCAGAGAGGGCCCTGTGTCCACAGCCAAGTGTGTGGCCACATCTATACTATAAATGACAGCAAACCTCAGAGTAAGTGTAGAGGCAGCAGTTCAGATGACTTTTGCCCACTCTGGTAAGGGCTAACTCCCTCTGAAGGGCACCAGCTGCATCCATGCTGTGCAGTGCTCAGCCCAGGCCCCCTCCAGCTCCTCTGGGTCCCCAAGGCAGATATTCTCTCTCATGATCTTTGGTTCTAGGCATCTACACACAGCAAGGGTTGTGCTGCTGCATGGAAGAGAAGCGCTCTTGTAGTATGCGTGCATGTTATATGTCCATAGAAGGCAGGCTGGGAGCAGACTAACATACAGGCTAGGTGGGTGACTAGGGAGACAGAAGCTGGTAAGGGACCAGACTGATAAGCTATTTGACAGTATAAATGCATCCAGTTTTCAAGTACTACAGAAAAACTGCCACAAAGTCAGTGTCACACTTTATCAAACACATTTTTGTTTGAAGTTCACAAGTTGGAAAATTTTGTAAATTAATATACAAGGCAAGAATAGCTATTATAAGAGATCACTTTAGTGCTTTTAGAACTGCTTAATTCTACACTCTTTGAGGAAAAAGACTCTTT